TGCAAATGAGTTTAATTGATTGATTATCTGTAAGGGCAATGAATTATTGAGTCTGCCACATGCTGTATTTGGCTTGCTTCATTTCAGATTCTACTTTTAAGGCGGGCATGATTACTCTTATACAGTTCCTTGTATAAATATTTGATGCACCTCTACTGCCCTTATTCCATGCGTATGGATTTATCCATTCATTTATTATAGTATTCTACTGCCCTCTTATACAGTTTCCAGAAAGCCAAAACAGCTGCATAAGGGGAGGTGTACCTGTAGCTTTTTCCATGAATTATAGATTTTGCACTTTGACATGGATGTAGCATTCAAAGAACTCAACATTGTATACATTATATTCTCTTCAAATAAACGGACTTAACATTGTCATGTTAGAGGTTATCAGTGCACAATACTCATTGAATCTCATTGAAGTAGCCGAGTAAAGGAAAAGAGAGGAACAGATTAACTGAAGAATTTGTTAGAGAAATCCAAAGACTTTGTAACAGTGTATTGAGTACTGTTCACATGTTGGAGATGCTGGATATGTAGTGAATTATGCATTGTCATGGCAGCTGTTAGTTGTTTTTTATTTTTATTTTGAGTTTATTTTTGCTGTTTAAAAAAGGATTTTATGCAACTGTGAACAAATTTATTGAGAATAAGGCTTAGCTTGTTGTTAGTTGGTATTATCTTTGCAGTTCGATTTTTAATGCAGTCACAATTTTGTTTCTCTTATCTTTATTATTCCAAATACTGCAGTCAAGGATGTTACATGGACCGCGCTGAGGCATTGGTTAGAGAGATGGAAGAAGAGGGTATAGATGCTGCAATTGACTTATATCACACCATGATGGATGGTTATACCATGATAGGAAATGAAGAAAAATGTCTCATTGTGTTTAATAGACTAAAGGTATATGCTTATGATACAATGAGTGTGAGGATTTGACTCCTTAACTTGCTACCTCTTACCAGAAAGAACCCATCATCCTGAATTCACTGCATATGTTTAACACAGTGAAATTTATTAGAGTATTTAATTCATCAATTTTATCTAATTCCATTTTTTGTCGGGGGTGGTGGTTCTTGAATGGATTTGTGAGGATAATGAGAAAAAGCACAATACCTGTTCTTAATTAAACGTCCTTTATGGCAACTCAAGTAATAGAATGCTTAATTATCAATTTTGTGAAAACTTACTAATAGGGAGCAGTAATATCATACTTAAAATAATGGGCGCTACATAAATTTAATTTCATTCGTCGTTAGTGTTCTTTTTGGAGTAGAAAATATAAGCACACAAAGGCCAATTGATCTGAGTAAAGTGCTATAACTTGTTGCAAAGGATGAAATTGCTGGTATTTTATTTTGTACTATGTACACTAATCTCGCCATCTGACACGTGATTGTGACTGTAGGAGTGCGGGTTCACACCTTCTGTAATCACTTATGGATGTCTCATCAATCTTTATACCAAGGTATCCGCAACTTCTTTCCTTGCCTGAACTTATTTAGGAAAATGCTATTTGTACACCAAGGTTGACACTCCAGCGTACACTCCCCTCACGAGGGGATGGACCCCACGACAATAAAAAAATCTTGGGGTTTTCCATGTGA